TCCATTACTCTCTGTTTTATGTGTACACAGCTCCTCAAAGGTCCCAATCCAAAGGTGTGGTCCCGTCCCGGCTTCACTTCACAAATTATACATTGCTCTCAGTAAATAAACAGGATGTGGCAAATTGCAGTTAATTTGGAAGCGGCCGATTTGTGCCGTACTTTTCATGCAAAGTAGAACTCGTTGAACTGAGCTACTGAGTGGGGGAACTATTGTGTTTGGTTAATTTTTAAATGGCTTTAAAACTGCAGTATTTGTTGTTTTTGTATGAGCTTTAACATTTTTACTATTATTACAGCTAACCTTTGTGGAAATACCAGCCAATGCTACCAACCGGGTTTAAACCAGGACTTAGCCAAACTTAAAGCAGAAAATACATATTCATTCTAAAAACACAAAGGTTTTAAACAGCCACATTTATTTGGTCAAATCAATCTTGGCTTAAAATTATCACTTGAAAGGAGAGAAAATTCTATTGTCCTTTGAAAGAATTTATGTTTTGTTAAACTGTGAAAATGGGCTGACGGCCGGAGCAGATGGTTCAGAGGGCCTGATGCAGCCCTCGGGCCACAGGTTGAATGGGCCTGGCCTAGATTGAAATGGATAACATTGTTTCTTGGAACGGGCTTTTGAAGGACGTTCTGGTCGACAGGACTCAGGTGAAATGTCCGCTTGGAAATGAGACTTTTCTGGGAATTTTTTTTACAGTTTAACAACACTGTCCTCTGTCTTCATGTCACTGCGTCTGTATGTGCGTCTGTATGTGCGTCTGTATGTGCGTCTGTATGTGCGTCTGTATGTGCGTCTGTATGTGCGTCTGTATGTGCGTCTGTATGTGTGTCTGTATGTGCGTCTGTACTGTATGTGTGTTTGTATGTGCGTCTGTATGTGTGTTTGTATGTGCGTCTATATGTGTGTCTGTATGTGCATCTGTATGTGCGTCTGTATGTATGTCTGTATGTGCATCTGTATGTGTGTTTGTATGTGTATGTGTGTGCGTCTGTATGTGCGTCTGTGTGTGTGTGTGCGTCTGTATGTGCGTCTGTATGTGTGTGTGTCTGTGTGTGTGTCTGTGTGTCTGTATGTGCGTCTGTATGTGCGTCTGTATGTGTGTCTGTATGTGCGTCTGTTTGTGCGTCTGTATGTGTGTCTGTATGTGCGTCTGTATGTGTGTCTGTATGTGCGTCTATATTTGTGTCTGTATGTGCGTCTATATGTGTGTCTGTATGTGCGTCTGTATGTGCGTGTGTCTGTGTGTCTGTATGTGCGTCTGTGTCTGTATGTGCGTCTGTATGTGTGTCTGTATGTGTGTCTGTATGTGCGTCTGTATGTGTGTCTGTATGTGCGTCTGTATGTGCATCTGTATGTGCGTCTGTGTGTCTGTATGTGTCTGTATGTGCGTCTGTATGTGTGTCTGTATGTGCGTCTGTATGTGTGTCTGTATGTGCGTCTGTATGTGCATCTGTATGTGCGTCTGTATGTGTGTCTGTATGTGCGTCTGTGTCTGTATGTGTGTCTATATGTGTGTCTGTATGTGCGTCTGTATGTGCGTGTGTCTGTGTGTACTGTATGTGTGTCTGTATGTGTCTGTGTGTGTCTGTGTGTGTCTGTGTGTGTTGTTGTTGTCTGTATGTGTCTGTATGTGTCTGTATGTGTCTGTATGGTGTCTGTATGTGTCTGTTGTGTCTGTATGTGTCTGTATGTGTCTGTATGTGTCTGTATGTGTCTGTGTGTGTCTGTATGTGTCTGTATGTGTCTGTATGTGTCTGTGTGTGTCTGTGTGTGTCTGTATGTGTCTGTATGTGTCTGTATGTGTCTGTGTGTGTCTGTATGTGTCTGTATGTGCGTCTGTTTGTGTGTCTGTATGTGTCTCTGTATGTGTGTGTCTGTATGTGTCTGTATGTGTGTCTGTATGTGTCTGTATGTGTCTGTGTGTGTCTGTATGTGTCTGTATGTGTCTGTGTGTGTCTGTATGTGTCTGTATGTGTCTGTGTGTGTCTGTATGTGTCTGTGTGTGTCTGTATGTGTCTGTGTGTGTCTGTATGTGTCTGTGTGTGTCTGTATGTGTCTGTGTGTGTCTGTATGTGTCTGTATGTGTCTGTATGTGTCTGTATGTGTCTGTATGTGTCTGTGTGTGTCTGTATGTGTCTGTGTGTGTCTGTATGTGTCTGTGTGTGTCTGTATGTGTCTGTATGTGTCTGTATGTGTCTGTGTGTGTCTGTGTGTGTCTGTATGTGTCTGTGTGTGTCTGTATGTGTCTGTGTGTGTCTGTATGTGTCTGTGTGTGTCTGTATGTGTCTGTGTGTGTCTGTATGTGTCTGTGTGTGTCTGTGTGTGTCTGTATGTGTCTGTGTGTGTCTGTGTGTGTCTGTATGTGTCTGTGTGTGTCTGTGTGTGTCTGTATGTGTCTGTGTGTGTCTGTATGTGTCTGTGTGTGTCTGTGTGTGTCTGTGTGTGTCTGTGTGTGTCTGTATGTGTCTGTGTGTGTCTGTATGTGTCTGCATGGTTCTATGGTCTGTGGCTGTTGCCATGTCACAGATTGAAATAAACATAAATAAAACATCTAAAAATGTGAATGTTTTGACTTTAATCCATAATCATCACTTTGTCGTCACGAGTCTAAAGTTTCTAAACCAGAGATAATTATAAGATAATTATAAGTTTGTGTAAGCTCTCAGTCGTACAGGGATTAGTCAAAGCAAAGGAAGGTTTCTCACCCATCATCTGTACTTCTTAGCAAGTTTTCCCGACGTTTCGTCCTCAACCTAGCGGACTTCTTCAGGGAATGAATTCTCGGACCGCGCGTTGGAGATTTATAACCTATGGGTGTGGTCAGCCACACCCTAACCCTGATACTAACTCGTAAACAATCTAAGGTCTGATGTAGAAGGGAGCAGGTCTAACGACCCTGCTGAGGCTAACGACCCTAACTCCTTAGCATGTCACTGACCTATTGTCTGCTGGGATCATCAAGTGGAGTGCAGGTCTCACCCCTCCTAACTCATTAGCATGTCACTGACCTCATTAGCATGTCACTGACCTTGTCCCAAGTTAGGGCGTTGTTTTTAGGATGTCGTCATAGATGCGAGGCAAAACAAATCTTAACCCTCCTCCTCTGTTAAGAGAAGGTTTTTGTTTCCTCACAAAAATAGCTTCTTTCACTCCTCTCTCAAACCAATTCTTCTCCCGAGCCAGAATTTTAACCTCTGTGTCATCCACCGTGTGGTTGGAGGCCTTGAGGTGGAGATGAACAGCCGACTGTGGCCCACTAGAGTTTTCTCTACGATGTTGGTAAAGTCGTTTCTGTAGAGTTTGTTTGGTTTCTCCAATATAGTGGTCAGTGCACTCCTCTTCACTACATTTAATTGAATACACCACATTGCTCTGTTTGTGTCTGGGTGTTTTGTCTTTGGGATGCACTAATTTCTGTCTTAACGTGTTGAAAGGTTTGAAATACACAGGGATTTTGTGTTGCCTAAAGATTCTTTGTAGTTTCTCTGAAACTCCCGCCACATACGGTAAAGACACCCCTCTCCTCCTACTTTCTTCTGTCTGTTGGACTGTGTCTCTGGCCTTTCTCGTCCTTTGGGCTTTAGTAAAAGACCACTTGGGGTAGCCACATCTGGAAAGTGCTCTCTGAACATGTTTGGTTTCTCTGTTCTTTGAAGCGTTCTAATGACCCCGAGTTTATGTTGTAGCGGATGATTTGAGTCAAAGGCCAGGTTCTGGTCAGTGTGAGTGGACTTTCTGAAGACCTCAGTCTCTAATTGTCCGTTCTCCAGTATGATGACCTTACAATCTAGAAAGGCGAGTTCACTCTCCTTAGCATCCTCGCGAGTGAAATTTATAAAAGGGTCCACCGAATTAATGTGTTCTGAAAAAGGTTCCACTTCCTGTTTCTTTAACTTAACCCATGTATCGTCTACATATCGAAACCAATGGCTTGGCGCTGTCCCTTGGTAAGAGCCCAGGGCTTGTTCCTCCAGTTTCTCCATACACAGATTGGCCACTATAGGAGAGACTGGGGAGCCCATCGCACAGCCATGAATCTGTCTAAAGAAGGTGCCTCTAAATTGGAAATACGTGGTGTTAAGACACATTTCAAGTATTTCACAGATGTGGTCAGCTGTTAGTTTCGTTCTCTCCCCTAGTGTGGCGTCTTTCTGTAGGCTTTCTCTTACAGCCTCCACCGCCTCTGTAATAGGGACCGACGTAAAAAGCGATGTCACATCAAACGAGACCATTGTCTCATCTGTGTCAAACTGGAGGTGTTTGATTTTATTCACAAATTCTTTAGTGTTTTCTATGTGATGGTGGGTGTTACCCACCAAAGGAGCCAGAATGGTTTTGAGGTGTTTAGCCAGGTTGTAGGTGATAGAGTCTATGCTACATACAATAGGCCGAAGTGGAAAGTTTTGTTTGTGTATTTTTGGGAGGCCATAAATACTGGGGATGGTGTCTCCTGGGTAAAGTTTGTAATATAGTGGTTTTTCAATAATGCCCTCTTTCACTAAGCTCTGAAGGAAGTCTATAATCTTTTTCCTAAACCCACTGGTAGGGTCCCTCTTCAATGGCTGGTACGTGTTGGTGTCCAAGAGTAACTGATTAACTTTGGCCTCATAGTCTGAGCTGTTGAGGATAACTGTGCATCTGCCTTTGTCAGCTGGTAAAATAGTTATACTCTCATCCTTTTGTAATGCCATTAATGCTTTTTGCTCATCTAATGAGACATTGGATTGTGGGGGCTTCGCACTTTTGAGTGTTGCAGAGACTCTCAGTCTGAGGGCCCCTGCCTCACTCTCAGTTAGTTTGTTGTTTCTAATGGCTGCTTCTGCTGCTGTGATGTATTCAATTGTAGGAATATCTTTTGGGGTTATTGCAAAATTTAGGCCTTTAGTAAGAACATCTTTTTCCGCTTGTGATAAATGCCGATCAGACAGATTTTTGACCCAATTCTCCCTGTCCAAGCCTTGTCCAATTTCACTTTTAGAATGTTGAAAAGAATTATGGTTTTGGAGTTTTAGAAATTTGCCTATCTGACGTTCTTTGGCCTTCTTGTGATGGTTCAGTTGGGCAGTTTCCGTAAACGTCCAAATCCTCTGAAAAAACCCTGGTGAGACTGCCAATTCCAGTTTGTGCTTAAGGCACTCTATCTCGTCCTTTAGGTTTATAATCTCTATGTTAAGTCGTCGAATTCTTAAATTGAGAATCTTCATACAGTAGTTTTGTTGTATTTTTCTTGCCAACTGGCCTGTTTCTAATGCTTTTTGCTTTAAACATTTTGGGATAAGTTTACTCTGGCTACACCTAAGATTAAACCTAAGATGATTTCTGGCGTCTGCTAATTTTCTTTTGATTTTCTCCAACCCGCGTGCCAAGACCAGGGCGTCTCTCCCAAAGTTGGCAACGATAAGTTTGTGTAAGCCCTCAGTCGTACAGGGATTAGTCAAAGCAAAGGAAGGTTTCTCACCCATCATCTGTACTTCTTTGCAAGTTTTCCCGACGTTTCGTCCTCAACCTGGGGACTTCTTCAGGGAATGAATTCTCGGACCGCGCGTTGGAGATTTATAACCTATGGGTGTGGTAAGCCACACCCTAATCCTGATACTAACTCGTAAACAATCTAAGGTCTGATGTAGAAGGGAGCAGGTCTAACGACCCTGCTGAGGCTAACGACCCTAACTCATTAGCATGTCACAGACCTATTGTCTGCTGGGATGCTCAAGTGGAGTGCAGGTCTCACCCCTCCTAACTCATTAGCATGTCACTGACCTTGTCCCAAGTTAGGGCGTTGTTTTTAGGATGTCGTCATAGATGCGAGGCAAAAACAAATCTTAACCCTCCTCCTCTGTTAAGAGAAGGTTTTTGTTTCCTCACAAAAATAGCTTCTTTCACTCCTCTCTCAAACCAATTCTTCTCCCGAGCCAGAATTTTAACCTCTGTGTCATCCACCGTGTGGTTGGAGGCCTTGAGGTGGAGATGAACAGCCGACTGTGGCCCACTAGAGTTTTCTCTACGATGTTGGTAAAGTCGTTTCTGTAGAGTTTGTTTGGTTTCTCCAATATAGTGGTCAGTGCACTCCTCTTCACTACATTTAATTGAATACACCACATTGCTCTGTTTGTGTCTGGGTGTTTTGTCTTTGGGATGCACTAATTTCTGTCTTAACGTGTTGAAAGGTTTGAAATACACAGGGATTTTGTGTTGCCTAAAGATTCTTTGTAGTTTCTCTGAAACTCCCGCCACATACGGTTATAAATCTCCAACGCGCGGTCCGAGAATTCATTCCCTGAAGAAGTCCGCTAGGTTGAGGACGAAACGTCGGGAAAACTTGCTAAGAAGTACAGATGATGGGTGAGAAAGATAATTATAAGTTATAGATTCTTCTGTAAATTGGTCCAAATGACGTCTTTTGAATCGTTGTGGTTTTGCATTGACAAAAATGTCCAGCAGCGAAAGATAAAATGTTTCACAGGCCTCCAGGAAGCACCAGGAAGCACCAGGAAGCACCAGGAAGCACCAGGAAGCACCAGGAAGAACCAGGAAGCACCAGGAAGCACCAGGAAGAACCAGGAAGCACCAGGAAGAACCAGGAAGCACCAGGAAGCACCAGGATGCACCAGGAAGCACTGCAGAAGGACCAGGAAGCACCACAGAGGGACCAGGGACCACCGCAGAGGGACCAGGAAGCACCACAGAGGGACCAGGAAGCACCGTAGAGGGACTAGGAAGCACCACAGAGGGACCAGGAAGCACCACAGAAGGACCAGGAAGCACCACAGAAGGACCAGGAAGCACCGCAGAGGGACCAGGAAGCACCGCAGAGGGACCAGGAAGCACCGCAGAGGGACCAGGAAGCACCGCAGAGGAACCAGGGACCACCGCAGAAGGACCAGGAAGCACCGCAGAGGGACCAGGAAGCACCACAGAGGAACCAGGGACCACCGCAGAGGGACCAGGGACCACCGCAGAGGGACCAGGGACCACCGCAGAGGGACCAGGGACCACCGCAGAGGGACCAGGGACCAGGGACCACCGCAGAGGGACCAGGGACCACCGCAGAGGGACCAGGGACCACCGCAGAGGGACCAGGGACCACTCACTATAATCTCCATCAATGCAAACGTTTCCAAAGTCTGAGCTAAAGTTCCAGCACAAGTGAAATTACTGAGAGACTTATTGTTCATACTTTAATGACTGTTTTTGAACCAGTCTCAATTGTAGGTTTGGTGTGTGTGTGTGTGTGTGTGTTTGTGTGTGTCTGTGTGTGTGTGTGTGTGTGTCTGTGTGTGTGCGTTCGCAGTGACTTGGCATAACATCCAATTGTCGTGTGTGTGACGTGATGTAGTCCATGTTTTGTTTCATCGACGACTGAAGCACATTTTAACGACGATGATCAAATATACACTGCAAAAAGTGACGAAAAATAAGTTAAAAATTGCGTAAATTTGGCAAAAATGTGTCTTAATCTGAGAACATTTGGACTGAGTCTTAAAACACTATTCTCCAACGGGACAAAGCTTAATTATCTTGTTTTAAAAAGATACAGAAATGTCTCCCTTGGAAATACTAGTGTGAAGACTAGTGTCCAATTAAGCCGTTTTTTTCCTCATTTTATATCATTTTTTGCAGTGTCCGGGTACTCTCACGTGATTGGTTAAAAATAGCCCGATATCAAAGTAACTTGAGCTCCGGAGTATGATCTCAGGTTCAGTATTTTTCTGCAGTGTCGGTGAAATCTGACGCAGCGTCCAAAGAGGATGTCCACGGCCCGCTGAGGGCCGCAGTCTGAGGTCATGACCTTTGTCCAACCGTAAAAAGACCATCCATCCATTTTCTTCCCCTTAATCCATCTCTGGGTGTGGGGGGTGGCCACATGCACACACACAGCACCAGCCTCTCACCGGCTAAAGTTTAATGATATTTAATGTTCTGTAAATGTAAAGGAATGTTTGTGATTCTGAGGCGTTCATTCAGGATGAACTTTTAGATTAGTATTTATTATTTATTATAGCATGTTAGTAAATTTATTTATGTTTTTAGACACATTTTATTTAGGTTTATTTATTTATTATATATCTACCCATTTACTATTGTTATTATGAATGGGGGCGCCAGTAGCTCAGTTGGTAGAGCATTAGCCTTTAGGCCTGAAGGTCGTGGGTTTGTTTCCCACCTTGACACCTTCTCCACCGACTCCCACTGATGTCTGCTGTCGTTGTGTCCTTGGGCAAGACACTTAACCCCACTTTGCCTGAAGCCCCCGCTGAAAGATCTCAGCTCCTGCAGGAGGATCAGAGAGGGACTGGTGCTCTGTGGACTGGGTGCAGCTCTGACTGCCACCCTGACCCAGAAATGGATTAAGGGGAAGAAAATGGATGGATGGATTATTAATATTGGTCAGCTGCCATTTTCTTTTTTGTGTCACTTTTGTCTGGCTCTTGGATCTAGTAGGGGCCTAGGGTCCTGTGTCGTCCCCTGTGGCTGCAGGCAGCTCTCTGCTCCTGGTGCAGATGGCTCCTTGGATGGCGCTTCTTCAGCCGGTTACATCTGCTCCCAGCCCTATGTATCTTTTCATTGTTTTACCTATTTTACCGATCTGATGTGACTTTATGTGTATGTGTGTGTGTGTGTGTGTGTGTGCGTGTGTGTGTGTGCGTGTGTGTGCATGTGTGTGTGTGTCTGCATGTGTGTGTGTGTATACGCATGTGGGTGTATATATAATAATAAATGTGGTAGTGGGGGGGTCTGTGGGGAGGTGGGGTTTAGGGCTGGGCATGTTGGATTGTTTTTAACTAAACTGTACCCAGACATGGACGAATAAAGGGATGAAAATGAGATGAACATAATTGTGTTTCTAAACATGTGTTGTGTGTGTTCATGAATCTGTAGAAATGCGTTGGTTTTAAACAGTGTTTTTCTGCACAAAGACGCGTCACAGAATTATTCTTTTACTCAACACACGATGGTGATAAACTACTGCTGTAGCCACAGCTGCCCTGGGGCACAATGACAGTTTGGCCCCGCAGCCGCCCCACTGTGGCCCCTGTTCTCAGAGGTCTCCCATCGCAGTTTCTATCCAGGCCCTTCCCTGCTTAGCTTCAGAGGTCTGAAGGATCTTCACCTGCAGGGGGCGCCACTGAATGTTAAAATTTTACATACACTTCAACATAGTTTTTATAATAATGTTTTCTTTTTATCATCATGTTTTTTCTTCAAGTCAAATAAAAACAAACACATTTTAAAACCTGTTGTAACTATAATATATATATATATATATATATATATATATACATACATACATACATATATATATATTGTTGTATAAATTAAACTCTGATGACGTCCTTTAATAGAAATAAATAAAACCCTTTCTTTGCCCATTTCTCTCCCTGTCAGTCTCCGTGACGTCACCCCCGCTCTCTGCTCTCATTGGTCAGCCTCGCCCCGCCCCTCCCGTAGGTACCGAGTCCTGAGTTTGAGGAGGAGCCCCGCGCAGCACTTTATATGAGGCTGACTTCAATTACACCGAGCCGCTCGTCTGCTCGCCTCCTTCAGCACCAGCCTCAGGGACCCACATCCCTGCCCTTTTTTTTTCTTCCATTTTTAGCTTTTAGTGACTTTTGCAAAAACCTACACAAACATGCCCAAAGACAAGGACGACGGTGGGTGGAAGAAGTTTGTGTGGAACTCGGACACGGGAGAGTTCCTGGGGCGCACGGGAGGCTCCTGGGGTAAGTCACACCTGTTCTGGACTCGGTCTGTCCACAGCTGCAGCTTAGTGTGAAGTGTGGGAGGCATCCGAATCCGACATGACAACAGCCTAAGATGCGGTTTCTTGTTAAACTGTAAAGTTTCTCTCCATCTCATTCATACATTTGTGCTAAAAAACTCAGAATTCAATGTTTCTGTCATGTCTGAGTCTGTCTCCATCTGCAGCATCTTCCATTCAACTTTTCCCCAGAACTTCCAACGCTTGCTGCCTCATGATGCGTGCTCTGTGCCTGTGATGTTTGGGAGTAATTGGGTTAAAACTGCATCGCGCTCAAGGTGACTCAAGGTTAAAAAAGGGGAGAAAACAAAGAAAGACATCTTGGAACCGGAGAGAACCTATCGATCCGTGTCCGGTTCTAGTGATCAGGTGTCGCTGTAATCTAGGCTGAATACCACTCATTAACTCCAGCGACCTTTCTCCTCTCGCTCTGTCAGGAACGGCCCCACTGCGCATGCGCTGTCCTCCTTCAATGTCACTGGCTTCAGACTTTGGCACCTGCGTAAAAAGAAAAAGGTGGGCCAAATGTTTATGGCTTCTGTGCGTCCGTGCCGTGGATGCGCGTCCTTCTCTCGGTCATGAGAAACTGCTGATGCATGTGTGGGCATGCGCAGTGCAGCGGCCCGGGCTGTGACGTAATCTGTGATATGGGATGTCTGTGAATTAACATGAGTGACATGTGTTTATGGAGCTGAGCTTACTGTAGTTCTTGAAATCCAGTGACTTCTTGCGTGACCTTGTGCGTAAAAGTGCAGCCTCTGTTTGGATATTTAAATGTATTCATATCATAGACTGTACTATCCATATATATCTAATTATAAAGTCTCAATTAAACTCACTAATGGGAATCTACAGATCATAGAAAAGCCAGTCAAAGCTGCTCATTAGCTACAGGCCAAACTGCAATGTCAGTGAGCAGCACCTGGGCCCAGAGGTCATTCACTCGTTTCCAGAATTAAACGACAAACCTTCTTCTCATTGGACCACATTTCTTCATTTCTTCATTTATACATTTTCCAATATTCAATTTCCCGGAGAAAAAGCACGAGGGAGGTCTTCTTTGAATCCACCAGAGCCCTAAGCACTCTATTAACAGGCGTGTTCTTTACCTGTAACCGTAGCCGTGTGCTTCCTGCCTCTGCCTCACAAGTGCATTCTTTTGGAGCGGGTTTAAAACAAAGGGCCCCAGTGTTGGCCCTGATGTGTAGGGGCCTCTGTGGCTCCTGATGTGTAGGGGCCTCTGTGGCTCCGTGTGTCACATGCTGCGGCCCTGTGTCCGATGCATTGTCTCCTCGTCCTTGAAGTGGATCAACTCTCGGCGTTAGAACAACTCCAGTGTTCTTCTGCAGAACGTGTGGGCTCCGGCTCTGAGAAAGTCCGCCACAAAACACTCCATTGTCTTTTTAACAGTCTTCATTCATGGTTTTTGAAATGGGTGATGATCAAAGTCCTTTTTTATTGAATGGATGTTCTGTCTGCATCTTGAGTCCATATACTGTGTAAAAATATGTGTGCTAAACTATACACGCTAATGCTCCTATGCTAATCTAGGTAAACTTATGCTAATCTAGTTAAACTTGAGCTAAACTAGTTTGAAAGACTATTCTGGGAACTGCAGGAGCAATTGTTTTAATTTGAAGGTCCCAGAGTGAATTTGAACTCCTGCCAAGTCCTGGTCATGCCGTGGAGTGGGACTAGGACTACACATACAGTAGGTGAAGGACTAGGTGTAGGACTAGGACTAGGACTAGTAATAAACCATATGAACAATGTGGATGATGTCACATTCATTCATTTCCCATTTCCTGCCAACTTCAAATGGACTGTTGTGTTCTCTCTCTGATCCGTGACGTCGCAGTCAACATGTTCCATTAGTCCATTAAACACGTTGTATCTGCGCAGATGAAGTGAGAGCCGACTGCAGACTTTAGTTTATGAGCTTCATAAAAACATAAAGAGGATTCTATTTACGAGTGGAGCGACTTTGAACAGGCCTCGAGTGTCTTTGAGCCGATGAATAACTAATGTTCTGTGTTCCTGTTACAGTAACTTAACCCTCTGAAACCTGCCCGGCAACAGACATGGACACATGCGCACGTGTATAGATGCACACGTGTATAGATGCACACGTGTATAGATGCACACGTGTATAGATGTGCACACGTGTATAGATGTGCACACGTGTATAGATGCGCACACGTGTATAGATGCGCACACGTGTATAGATGCGCACACGTGTATAGATGCGCACACGTGTATAGATGCGCACACGTGTATAGATGCGCACACGTGTATAGATGCGCACACGTGTATAGATGCGCACACGTGTATAGATGCGCACACGTGTATAGATGCGCACACGTGTATAGATGCGCACGTGTATAGATGCACTTAGTGAGGGTTAGAGATGATCTATTTTCAAACACAATTAGTCAAAGATTAAGGTTTTTAGGAGGATTTCCCTAAATTTTAGGAAAGAGCCGCCCTTTCCACTCTCTGCTCTTATTGGACGAGCTCGTGTCCTCAGAATGATTGACAGTTGGGAGGACCAATAGTCTTGATGATCCACCTGGAAGTAGAACATCCTCCTTTATACCTTTTAGTGACTTTCTTGCTTCTTAGCTTACCCAGAAGTAGCCATTGCAATCAAACTTACACTTTCTGCATCATCCAGCCAACTTAATCTCCACCCACACAGACATGCTAATGCCTCATTGTAAAGTCTTTGACCAACATGTGTTTGTGATAGTGGCACAATCCGCAGTTTTACAATACAGACCATCAGCCCCAAGTCTGAGCTAAAGTGGCCCTTTACTAAAAAGTCCGGACACCCACCCTTTATTTAATTATTGGGGAGCAGTGCACACAACCAACATGTGACAGTATAACATGAGTAAAACCACTTTGTACACAGGTTTAGCGGTAGGGGAAACTTGCGCAGACACAGGGAGAACATACAAACTCCACTCAGACCCATGCACAGCCCTTGTTCTGTCTGATCTGTGTGCTTGTGCAGCCACAGCATCAGACTTCAGTATTTATGTATTCCTGAAAACAACCCAATATGAACTGACCCTCCACTCTTCAAACAGCTGGAAATTTCAGTGTTGCATCAAATCTTCCGTTGCCCTTGGTAACGGTGACTTTGCTGTTTCCGTGTCTGTTCTTTCTGACGCCTCTCTCTCTTCTCCGCAGCTAAGATTGGGTTTTTCTACCTGATCTTCTACGGGTGCCTGGCGGGTGTCTTCGTCGGGACCATCCAGGCTATGCTGCTGACTCTGAGCAGCTACAAGCCCACCTGGCAGGACCGCGTGGCGCCCCCTGGTGGGTGTCCTGAGTCTCTGCTCTGTCCTGATGTGTTTCAAGAGCGACTAAACACCTGTGCCCAGCCTTACTCTGCCTACATGAACATTTGAAAATGTTCTGTAAAAAGGGCGTCACACGCACCCCAACTGACGTCACACGCACCCCAACTGACGTCACACACAACTGACGTCACCCGCACCAACCAACTGACGTCACACGCACCCCAACTGACGTCACCCGCACCCACCAACTGACGTCACACACAACTGACGTCACCCGCACCCACCAACTGACGTCACCCGCACCCCAACTGACGTCACACGCACCCCAACTGACGTCACACGCACCCCAACTGACGTCACACGCGCACCCACCAACTGACGTCACACGCACCCACCAACTGACGTCACACGCACCCACCAACTGACGTCACACGCACCCCAACTGACGTCACACGCACCCACCAACTGACGTCACACGCACCCACCAACTGACGTCACACGCACCCACCAACTGACGTCACACGCACCCCAACTGACGTCACACACAACTGACGTCACCCGCACCCACCAACTGACGTCACACGCACCCACCAACTGACGTCACACGCACCCACCAACTGACGTCACCCGCACCCACCAACTGACGTCACCCGCACCCACCAACTGACGTCACCCGCACCCACCAACTGACGTCACCCGCACCCACCAACTGACGTCACCCGCACCCACCAACTGACGTCACCCGCACCCACCAACTGACGTCACACGCACCCACCAACTGACGTCACACGCACCCACCAACTGACGTCACACGCACCCACCAACTGACGTCACCCGCACCCACCAACTGACGTCACCCGCACCCACCAACTGACGTCACCCGCACCCCAACTGACGTCACCCGCACCCCAACTGACGTCACCCGCACCCACCAACTGACGTCACCCGCACCCACCAACTGACGTCACCCGCACCCACCACCACAACTGACGTCACCCGCACCCACCAACTGACGTCACCCGCACCCACCAACTGACGTCACCCGCACCCACCAACTGACGTCACCCGCACCCACCAACTGACGTCACCCGCACCCACCAACTGACGTCACCCGCACCCACCAACTGACGTCACCCGCACCCACCAACTGACTTCACCCGCACCCACCAACTGACGTCACCCGCACCCACCAACTGACTTCACCCGCACCCACCAACTGACGTCACCCGCACCCACCAACTGACGTCACACGCACCCACCAACTGACGTCACCCGCACCCACCAACTGACGTCACCCGCACCCACCAACTGACGTCACCCGCACCCCAACTGACGTCACCCGCACCCCAACTGACGTCACCCGCACCCACCAACTGACGTCACCCGCACCCACCAACTGACGTCACCCGCACCCACCAACTGACGTCACCCGCACCCACCAACTGACGTCACCCGCACCCACCAACTGACGTCACCCGCACCCACCAACTGACGTCACCCCGCACCCACCAACTGACGTCACCCGCACCCACCAACTGACGTCACCCGCACCCACCAAACTGACTTCACCCGCACCCCAACTGACGTCACACGCACCCCAACTGACTTCACCCGCACCCACCAACTGACGTCACACGCACCCACCAACAGACGTTTTTAGGCTCAAAAGTGAGATTTGATCTAATTTTCACTAAAATGTCCAAAAATGACCAGGACATGTAGAGAGCACTACAATAAACATATTTATGCAGTTTGAGTTAAAGTTATTTGGTGTTTAGTCGCTCTTTAAAGTCTCACTCAGGTATTGTTTCAGGACCAATGATCGATACTGTGTAAGAAATACACTTATGTTTTATGGGTTAAACATAAAAAACCTTTAATCTTCTACATCTCGTCCAATAAGACTTTAGGATTAGTCAGCAGAAGAAAATGTTTATAGAAATAGTTGTTTAAAAGTCTGTAGTCAAAGTTATAATAGTAATCTTTATTTAGTAATCTTTATTTTTATTTATATACCGCCTTTTCACTGCAGATCTGAGTCTCAAAGCGGTTTACAATTGTTTATTTTTGGGCATTTGTCTCTCACTCCACACAGAGATGGGAGCGGGGCCAGTACAGGAGGCGCATGCCAGAACTATTGGACATATTTTTAGTGGTAGGGGAAACCGGAGTACCCGGAGGAAACCTACACAGACACGGGGAGAACATGCAAACTCCACTCAGAAAGACCCTGGTCCGACCGGGATTTGAACCCAGGACCTTCTAGCTGAGAGGCAAGAGTGCTATCCACTCAGCCACCGTGCCGTGCCACAAACTAATAATGTCAATAGTTTGAACATGATCAACATCAAACACAGGAGTTTTAAGTTGTTACAGAAATAAATGAACTTTTTAACAATATCTTAATTTTGCAAGTTTCCGCAACACTTTATTCCTACTTTTAAGATTTGATCATTTCTTTGTCTGTTTCTCTCGATATCTATATAACATGTATATATCAGTCTCCTCCCAGCCTGACGTGCCGGCCCCCACCTGGTGACAGGGACCAGGTGGGGGCCGTGTGTACATAAGGACAATGAAGCCACTTTTGCCATTATTCTGAATTTCTCCATCTGTGAGATAATAAAGGATTGATTGATTCATGGAGGATTATATTTTGGATTAGTCCTTCTCTCACATAGTTAGAGATAGATCTTTCTTCCTATCTTTAACTTGACTTTGCTTGAACAAAAACAAGCCTAGTCCAGTAGAAAATACCTTCATCCGTTTTGGTTCACAGGCTGGTTCATCTTTGTGTTCACTCTTCTGTCTGGAAAATGATCTAAATATACAAATACTTAGTTTTACTACACTGCTACGTTGTGGGGTTTTTAAGGAATAGTCTAAATTGTGTGTTTTGCAAAATGGTGGAAAAATATTGGATTCATGAGACGCAATAGTTTTTGTTTTGTTTTTTGAGTTTATTGTGCGTTTGAGCTGACGTGTGTGTGTCTGTGTGTGTGTTGCAGGCCTCACCCACACCCCGCGCTCGGAGAAGCAGGAGATGACCTTTAACCTGAACGACGTGGAGTCCTTCCTGCCGTACACCAAAGCCCTGAAGGACTTCCTGGCTCAGTACGACGACGACAAACAGTCCGACCCGACCAAGTTTGAGGACTGCGGAGGTGTGGCTCGCTAACACCTAGCTTACCGCACACACCTGTGAAATGCTAACACCTAGCTTACCGCACACACCTGTGAAATGCTAACACCTAGCTTACCGTACACACCTGTGAAATGCTAACACTGTCCTCCTTTTTGAAATGTATAAAACGCACGTTCAGAAACGCTAAGGCAAGTTTAGTTGTATAGCACAGTTCGTACACACGGCAACTGAGGAAACAAAAGCATCGTGAATATAAAATATAATATTTAATGTCAAGTACAGGAAAAAGAATGAGGTGGAATCATTCAGTTGTTTGCAGCTAAACGGAACTGTTTATCTGCAAACAACTGCTCCTCAGAGTCCCAGCAGGAGGCCAGTCCCTGTGCTCCTCAGAGTCCCAGCAGGAGGCCAGTCCCTGTGCTCCTCAGAGTCCCAGCAGGAGGCCAGTCCCTGTGCTCCTCAGAGTCCCAGCAGGAGGCCGGTCCCTGTGCTCCTCAGAGTCCCAGCAGGAGGCCAGTCCCTGTGCTCCCTCAGGGTCCCAGCAAGAGGCCGGTCCCTGTGCTCCCTCAGAGTCCCAGCAGGAGGCCGGTCCCTGTGCTCCCTCAGGGTCCCAGCAAGAGGCCGGTCCCTGTGCTCCCTCAGGGTCCCAGCAGGAGGCCGGTCCCTGTGCTCCCTCAGGGTCCCAGCAGGAGGCCGGTCCCTGTGCTCCCTCAGGGTCCCAGCAGGAGGCCGGTCCCTGTGCTCCCTCAGGGTCCCAGCAGGAGGCCGGTCCCTGTGCTCCCTCAGAGTCCCAGCAGGAGGCCGGTCCCTGTGCTCCCTCAGAGTCCCAGCAAGAGGCCGGTCCCTGTGCTCCCTCAGAGTCCCAGCAGGAGGCCAGTCCCTGTGCTCCTCAGAGTCCCAGCAGGAGGCCGGTCCCTGTGCTCCTCAGAGTCCCAGCAGGAGGCCAGTCCCTGTGCTCCCTCAGGGTCCCAGCAAGAGGCCGGTCCCTGTGCTCCCTCAGGGTCCCAGCAAGAGGCCGGTCCCTGTGCTCCCTCAGGGTCCCCAGCAAGAGGCCGGTTCCTGTGCTCCCTCAGGGTCCCAGCAGGAGGCCGGTCCCTGTGCTCCCTCAGGGTCCCAGCAGGAGGCCGGTCCCTGTGCTCCCTCAGGGTCCCAGCAGGAGGCCGGTCCCTGTGCTCCCTCAGGGTCCCAGCAGGAGGCCGGTCCCTGTGCTCCCTCAGAGTCCCAGCAAGAGGCCGGTCCCTGTGCTCCCTCAGAGTCCCAGCAAGAGGCCGGTCCCTGTGCTCCCTCAGGGTCCCAGCAGGAGGCCGGTCCCTGTGCTCCCTCAGAGTCCCAGCAGGAGGCCGGTCCCTGTGCTCCCTCAGGGTCCCAGCAGGAGGCCGGTCCCTGTGCTCCCTCAGGGTCCCAGCAGGAGGCCGGTCCCTGTGCTCCCTCAGGGTCCCAGCAGGAGGCCGGTCCCTGTGCTCCCTCAGGGTCCCAGCAGGAGGCCGGTCCCTGTGCTCCCTCAGGGTCCCAGCAGGAGGCCGGTCCCTGTGCTCCCTCAGGGTCCCAGCAGGAGGCCGGTCCCTGTGCTCCCTCAGGGTCCCAGCAGGAGGCCGGTCCCTGTGCTCCCTCAGGGTCCCAGCAGGAGGCCGGTCCCTGTGCTCCCTCAGGGTCCCAGCAGGAGGCCGGTCCCTGTGCTCCCTCAGGGTCCCAGCAGGAGGCCGGTCCCTGTGCTCCCTCAGGGTCCCAGCAGGAGGCCAGTCCCTGTGTTCCTCAGAGTCCGACACTTTACTCATTAAGTTTGGGATTTGTTAAAAAAAAAATGAGAAAAAGGGACAAAGTTTTTGTTTGATAAATAGTGAGGCCTCAGTTCCTGACACGGGAATGAAACCCCAGAGCCCTGATCACAGCTCTTCTTGCTTCTATTCTATTCTTCCGCTTTACCCATGCCCTCTCTACTGCAGCTGAGCCGGCCGACTACAAACACCGTGGTGACCTGGACAGTGACGTGGGCAGCCGCCGCGCCTGCAGGTTCTCGCGCTCGCTGCTGGGACCGTGCTCCGGCATTGAGGACCGCACCTACGGCTTCCAGGAGGGGAAACCCTGCGTCATCGTCAAACTCAACCGCGTGGTCAACTTCAGGCCCCGGGTGAGCTCTGCGGCCCCTTCACCACGATTAGAAAATGGCGTCCTGGCATCTGGCGCTCCTTCATTGACCTGAGTGGCCTTAATGCAGAGGTCTTAGGTTTCAATTGTCTGTTATTGAGCCGTGGTTCTGTCTCCATCTAGTGGCCGTGGAGAGTACTTCTCTAATTAGACGTTTCCAATTCATAAGTTGCTTCAAGTTCTAGTTTTGTTTAAGGCAGAGACCACGAGACGACTCTAAGACCAGAGAGGGAGACCAGAGAGGGAGACCAGAGAGGGAGACCAGAGAGGGAGACCAGAGAGGGAGACCAGAGAGGGAGACCAGAGAGGGAGACCAGAGAGGGAGACCAGAGAGGGAGACCAGAGAGGGAGACCAGAGAGGGAGACCAGAGAGGGAGACCAGAGAGGGAGACCAGAGAGGGAGACCAGAGAGGGAGACCAGAGAGGGAGACCAGAGAGGGAGACCAGAGAGGGAGACCAGAGAGGGAGACCAGAGAGGGAGACCAGAGAGGGAGACGATCAGTCCCGCTCTGGTGTCCTGTGTCTGTTGTGTGTCTGTGTCTAACATGTGTCTGTGTCTGTTGTGTGTCTGTTGTGTGTCTGTGTCTGATGTGTGTCTGTGTCTAACATGTGTCTGTCTGTTGTGTGTCTGATGTGTGTCTGTGTCTAACATGTCTGTGTGTCTGTGTCTGTTGTGTGTCTGTGTCTATTGTGTGTCTGTGTCTAACATGTGTCTGTGTCTGTTGTGTGTCTGTGTCTATTGTGTGTCTGTGTCTAACATGTGTCTGTGTCTGTTGTGTGTCTGTGTCTAACATGTGTCTGTGTCTGTTCTGTGTCTGTTGTGTGTCTGTGTCTGTTGTGTGTCTGTGTCTAACATGTGTCTGTGTCTGTTGTGTGTCTGTGTCTAACATGTGTCTGTTGTGTGTCTGTGTCTAACATGTGTCTGTGTCTGTTGTGTGTCTGTGTCTAACATGTGTCTGTTGTGTGTCTGTGTCTAACATGTGTCTGTGCCTTCAGCCTCCTCTGTCCAATGAGAGCATCCCTCTGGACGCTCAGTCCAAGGTCCAGCCCTACGTGGTTCCTCTGTTCTGCGCCAACAAGGTACGACCCTCACCCTGTAATTAATGTGAGTAATGTAAACGACGTCACATGATCAAACAAAGCAGAAGACAGTGAAACCTTCTGTGTTTGGCTGGAGTTCAATAAGACTTATGAGAATGTATCGTTTTAATTTGATTCATTTTAAGATTCACAGACCGTTCTTTCAGTTCTTGCATCACGGTCACAGAACAGTAGGAACGATGAGCACACAAGAGAAATGAACTCAAATAAAATCTCTAAAAAAATAAGCTAGGATAAAATCTCCAGCTTTAGCATAATAATAATAATAATATTATATTTATTAATAGCAGCCAATAAATCAGTCATAAAATGTAATGTCCACTTGTATAAAAAGGGTGTGATTTGGCTGTTCTTGTTTTCTTTATTATTATGTACATTTATGTTTAACTGTCGTGGTGTAACTGATCCCCAGATTGCGAGCAGCAGTGGACAGGTAAAAGTGTGGCTGAGATGTGTCTCTGGAGTTTTTCTGAGTTTTCTTTGTTTGGTTTAGTTCAGGAAACAGTAATTATACCTGAGACAGTGGAATCTAGGACTAGGGCTGCCCAGACTGCTGCCTTACTGACCCAGCACTGGATAAAGTGGAAGAAAATGGTTAGATGGAAGTTGGAACTGAGGCTTTCCATGAAATGTTTTTGTGTTTTCTCATTTCTCAAACTTCAGTTGTTGATGTGAAAACTGTGTTTGCTTCTTTCGGCCTCTTTCCTGCTAAGCCCCGCCCCCTCTGCCCCGGGCCGGTGTATGGTACTAAACTGACACCGGTCTGTTTGTCCCAATGCTAACGGCTATAAGCTAGCAGGTGTATAAATGTGGACGACAAAGTTTAGTTTGTTAAAAAGTCTGATCCTGTCACTGACCCCGGGACGTGAGAAAGACCAAACATCACTTCACCTTTCATTCAAAATGACTTTACTTTGAGAGAGGGAGAGAGAGAGAGGGAGGGAGGGGAAGAGAGTACTGCTGTAGCACTCTTACACCCTCACTCACCTTCTTTCTCTCACTCAATCACCCACCCTCTCTCACACACGCTCCGTCTCACCCCCTCACACACACACACTCACCCTCTCTTTCATACTCTCTCTCTCTCACCCACTCTCTCACCCTCTCACACACGCTCCATCTCACCCTCTCTCTCTCGCTCTCTCGCTCACCCACTCTCTCGCTCTCTCTCACCCACTCTCTCGCTCTCTCACCCACTCTCTCGCTCTCTCTCTCACCCTCTCTCTCGCTCTCTCTCTCACCCACTCTCTCGCTCTCTCACCCACTCTCCCTCTCTCTCACCCTCTCTCTCACCCTCTCTCCCTCTCTCTCCCTCTCTCTCACCCCCTCTCTCACCCCCTCTCACCCTCTCCCTCACCCCTCACTCACCCTCTCTCTCACCCACCCTCTCTCCCTCTCTCACCCCCTCTCTCTCCCCCTCTCTCTCACCCACTCTCACCCTCTCTCTCGCCTCTCTCTCATCCACTCTCATCGCTCTCTCTCACCCACTCTCTCGCTCTCTCTCACCCACTCTCTCGCTCTCTCTCACCCACTCTCTCGCTCTCTCTCTCTCACCCCTCTCTCCCGCTCTCTCACCCTCTCCCTCACCCTCTCTCCCTCTCTCTCCCTCTCTCTCACCCTCTCTCCCTCTCTCTCACCCTCTCTCCCTCTCTCTCTCTCTCCCACCCTCTCTCTCACCCTCTCTCCCTCCCTCTCTCTCTCACCCTCTCTCCCTCCCTCTCTCTCTCACCCACTCTCTCTCCCTCACTCACCCCCTCACTCACCCTCTCTCTCACCCTCTCCCTCACCCTCTCCCTCACACCCTCTCCCTCACCCCCTCACTCACCCTCTCCCTCACCCCCTCACCCCCTCACTCACCCCCTCACTCACCCTCTCCCTCACCCCCTCACTCACCCTCTCCCTCACCCCCTCACTCACCCTCTCCCTCACTCACCCTCTCTCTCACCCACCCTTTCTCCCTCTCTCTCTCACCCCCACTCTCTCGCTCTCTCTCACCACTCTCTCGCTCTCTCTCACCCACTCTCTCGCTCTCTCACCCACTCTCTCGCGCTCTCTCACCCACTCTCTCGCTCTCTCTCACCCACTCTCTCGCTCTCTCACCCACTCTCTCGCTCTCTCACCCACTCTCTCGCTCTCTCACACTCTCTCTCTCTCCCTCTCTCTCTCTCTCTCTCTCCCTCTCTCTCTCTCCCTCTCTCACCCACTCTCTCTCACCCACTCTCTCTCTCACCCACTCTCTCTCTCTCACTCTCTCACCCTCTCTCCCTCTCTCTCTCACCCACTCTCTCTCTCACTCTCTCTCTCACCCTCTCTCACCCACTCTCTCTCACCCACTCTCTCACCCTCTCTCACCCTCTCACCCTCTCTCTCTCACTCTCTCTCTCACCCTCTCTCTCTCTCACCCACCCCCTCACTCACCCTCACCCCCTCTCACTCTGGACCTCCTCTCCCCCCGCACAGAGAGATGAAGACGCCGGTAAAGTGGGCGAGGTGAAGTACCATGGCATCGCCGGCGGCTTCCCGCTGCAGTACTACCCGTACTACGGGAAGCTGCTGCACCCGCAGTACCTGCAGCCGCTGGTGGCGCTGCAGTTCACCAACCTGACCATGAACACGGAGGTGCGCATCGAGTGCAAGGTGTTCGGAGAGAACATCCATTACCACGACAAGGACCGGTACCAGGGCCGCTTCGACATCAAGCTGAAGATCAACAACCTATGACCAGGACTCTGCGGCGCCACCGTCTGTCCTGACGTCACGGTAGAAAACTGAAGCAGCGGCGAATCCCGACAAACCTTTAGCTTCTAACTCTCGCTAGTCCATTCCGGATGCTTCCAAATAGCACTAGGCCTTTTTAAGCAACGCCGCATTCACCTGGTCCTAAAGTTTTGTTTCTGAGAGAGGACCGAGACGAGGCAGTCCAGTTTCATAATTATTTATTGAATTATTTATTTACAGTTTTAACCATGATTTATTAAAAGTTGAAAATAAAAACAAATCACTCTGAGGTTTGTCTAATCCCACTTTTACGGCTCCGATGATTGATTGAATCAGTTTTGGGAGGACCATGTGACTGCGGCTCTTTCCATCTTTAGAATAATATAAAAAGCTGTAGTTTTAATGTAGATGTCAAAGATGCACAAAGTGTGGCTTTGGGAGGTTTGTTTTTGCCCTGTTTTTGTTCTTCTTGTTTCTTTGTGAATAGTTCAGGAAATAGAGCCAGCACAAGTTCTGAAAAGAAAAACTCTTAAGATCATTTTAGTTGTTTTTTGCGAGACGATTCTAAAAGCCAAGTGTCATTCCTCTGTTTCGCCTTTTATTTTATGCTTTTAAAAATTCCACTTTTCTCGTTTTATTTTTTGGTCCTGGTGTAAGTGCCATAGACTGTATAGACCAGGGCTGTCAAAGCGGTCCTCAAAGGGCGGCTGTGGCTGCAGGTTTTCACTCCAACCAAGCAGGAGCACACACCGGACTCCGGGTTCAGACTGGTCTTGAGGAAAAGTGTGGAGTCTGGGGTTGCTCCTGCTTGGTCGGACTGAAAACCTGGGACCGGTTGGACACCTCTGATTATAGACTGACAATGCTAAACTGCTAGGTCAATGAAGCCACATGGGAAAGTGCTCATGGGTAAAGTTTTGGGCTTAGAAGTCTGTGATCCTGGGGTATTGCCCGACAGAGGCTTTGGCGACAATCTTATCAACACCTCTGTTAGCTTAACCTAACACCGAGGCTAATACTTCATATAAGGAAATTGGCTATAGCTAGCTTCTTACGCATTACGGCTAACACCCTAATATACAGTCTACAGAACGCACACTACACGGGTCCAGAATATGAACACACTACACTCCAAGGAACTACTTCCTCTTGTTTTTTTTTTGGCGTTTTAATCTTTTTGAGGTATATTTGTGAATGATTCCCGTCGTACACGGTTAGCGGCCTCCTCTCCGGTGCTAGCCCCTTCCTCCGCTGGATGCTTCGCAGTGTCCCAACTCTGTGAATGTTTTAGCCATTTAACATGAATTTTGTATTTATGCAGCTGTACATTGTTTTTAGTTTATTTTGTGATGTATAAATGCAAACCAAAGTGCTGGCGATGGAGAATGGTACGTCTGACAGCGTTTCATTATGATTACATTCGTTTCCATGGCAACGTTGAATGTACTGCGGCAGTGGTAGATGTTTCTGCACACATTAAATAAATATATGCAATAAGCTCTTTACGACAGACCACGGCTCAAATCGTCAGGATTTCACGTCGTTTAAAAACTAAAGAATAGAGTTTGAAAATGAGCTCCTTCGGTTCCAAAATAAAAACTGAGAAATGCATTTGTCTGGTCTCCTTTTGTTTATGTATCTTTAAGTGGCCATAAGCAGAGCAGGGCCTGGTTAGTACTGTGATGGGAGACCTCTGGGATCAGCAGGTGCCACAGTGGGGGGGGCTGCGGCTGTAAAGTGCCAAACTGTGGTTGTGTCCTTAGGCAAGACACTTCCCCCACATTAGAATGAGTCTTGTGTGTGTGTGTGTGTGTGTGTGAATGGTTGGTGGTGGTGGGAGGGGCCGATGTCCACAATAATTTAAGTTTTTATTTAGCGCCTTTCACAGACGAGTCACAGCACTTTTACATTTGTCTGTGGAACATTATTTTAGTGGAGAAACTGGAGGGCACCGAACGGACCTGTGCCGACCGGGATTCAAACCCAGGACCTTCTGACCTTTGGCATTATTAAGATATTTGTTTCTATCAGAAAGACAGACTCCTTTTAACATGTTTTATTCATTTCATATAAAACTGCTGCAGCAGAAAGTGCAAAAGATTTTTATTTTACAGATTTTTAAAAACATTACATTTTTTTGAGAGTGAAAATATAAATCTTGAGTAAAAGATTTTAATTTAAAGTATGATTTGTTATTTGTCCCATGTGTGTGTCCTCATGTGGACCTTGAGATTTCCCCGACGGGAAAATGCTTTGTTACAGACTGAACAGCTGTAAGGTCTGTCCCCAGAGTGAGTCATTTTGTGTTTTGCGAGAGTGCTCTGATCAGAAAAGGACTTGTCACACTGACTACAGCTGTAAGGCTTTTCCCCGGTGTGTGTCCGCATGTGGACGCTCAGATTACTCCTGCGGGAAAATGCTTTGGTACAGACTGAACAGCTGTAAGGTTTGTCGCTTGTGCGTGACATGTGTCCAGTGTGATGGGAAAAAGCTTCGTTACAGGTAGAATCAAGGCCTGGTTTATTTAATACAGGTTTTATCATGTGTTCAGTATCTTCAGACTTTGGTGAAATTGCATTGGTAGAGACTGAACTGCTGTAAGGTCTGTCTCCTGAGTGGGTCTTCATGTGTACACTGAGATTACTCCAACAGGAAAATGCTTTGTTACAGACAGAACAGCTGAAAGGTTTGTCTCCTGTGTGTGTTATCACGTGGACGTTGACATGGCTCAGTTCAGTATCTTTATACTTTAGTGGAAAGTCTTTGTTACAGACTGAACTGCTGTAGGGTTTTTCTCCCGCTAGTGCCCTCATGTGTTCAGTGAGAGTACTCCAAAATGCTTTGTTGCAGACTGAACAGCTGTAGGGTTTATCTCCCGTCCGTGTCCTCGAATGTACATTAAAACAAACTTTGTGTGAAAATACTTTGTTACATGTTTTATCACGTGTGTGCTTTGTCATGTGTGTTGCCAGGTTGTTTCCACAAGTTGTGCCAGTGTGCGTCTTTGTGTCTGTGTGCGTCTTTGTGTGTTTTGCCAGAGTTCCCTTTTGATTGAATGATGCGTTACAGATTGAACAGCTGTAGGGCTTCTCTTTTGTGTGTATCCGCATGTGTGCAGTGAGGTGTGTGCGTTGAGAGAATGCTCTGCTGCAGACTGAACAGCTGAATGGTCTCTCACCTGTGTGTGTCCTCATGTGTGCGGTAAGTGTACTCTTAGAGGAAAATGCTTTGGTGCAGACTGAACACCTGAATGGTTTATCTCCTGTGTGTATCCTTCTATGTTCTGCAAGATGGCCGCGATGGGAAAAGGCTTTATTACAAACTGAACAGCTGTATGGTTTTTTGTAGGTGTGTGTTCTTGTGTGTTGTGCCAGTGTCCCCTTATCCCGAAAGGACTTTCCACAAACTGAACAGCTGTAGGGCCTTTCTCCTGTGTGCGCTCTCATGTGTACATTAAGATGACCCCGGTGAGAAAAGGCTTTGTTACAGACCGAACAGCTGTAAGGTTTGTCTCTTGCGTCTGTTCCCCTTTGAGCAGCTCCACTCTGGGCTCGGGGGTCTCCGTCCTCTGTGTCTGAAGACAGAGGAGGAAGATGATGAAGATGTGCCTCTTCTTCATCCTCAGAGTCAGAGGAGTGCTCTGTGTCTCCCTCTGAGCTCTTCTCTCTCTGTGGTTCCGCTCTGTGCGACTCTTCTGTCTTCACACAGACAGGACTGAAAGGAAATTAAACTCAAATCAGAAAAAAAAACTTCTCACTGACTGAGAATAATCTCTAATCTCTCACAGCGGCTCCTGCTCAGTTTTGATCCTCTGTGTCTCGGGCTCCTCGGGCTCCTCTTTAGTCTGTGGACTTCCCGTGAGCCGACAGGGTTCTGCTGCAGTCATACTTCTGCATTGGACATGATGTAGATTTCAGAAATGTAAAGTGTGGCCTGAGTTTAGTGAATGAGGACAAGGACAAGGTTTCTGTGATATAAGTATCATTTTAGGAACAGCATGTCTCTCTCTTATCAGGACATAAGGCATGAGACCCAAAACCAGACTAGACCAGACCCAGACCAGGGCCTCAGACCATATGAGGTCATCGGACAGTCTGAGCAGAGACAGAGAGAGGACATTGCAGAACCTGGACGTCCTCTGTACATTTTCAGGCCTGGAGGCAGAGTTACATTGGCTCAGCTCATAGTTAGGTTAGTTATAGGGAATTAACAGCTCAGAGAGTTTTGTATTAATATTTAATTATATAAAATTGTTAGGGCTGTCAAACGATTACATTTTTTTAGTTGATTAATCGCATAGTAATGGTGAGTTAACTCACGATTAATCGCATGTTTAACATTCTATTTCAAATCCACTCCAATTGAAGTTAAATGAGATTATCAAATATAATTACCAGTATTGGGTAAATTACTTTGAAAAAGTAATTAGTTATAGTTACTTGGTACTTCTTCCAAAAAGTAATTGACTTACTGACTGAGTTACTCCACTATAAAAGTAACTAGTTACCAGTAAAAGTAACTATTGCGTGGTACCGAGCTTCAGCTGGCTGTAATTTAGGATAACTTCTAAGTAGATTAATTGCTGCAACAACCCCACCCTATTTTAGGTGCCATTTAATTAAATTGCATTTATTTTTATCCATTGATCAAACAAACAGATTACAAAACTTGCAATTGAATGAGACTATTTTAAAATAATTAGTTCCCAAAAACACACACAAGCAACACTCGCGCCTGACAGACAAGAACCAGGGAAAATACAGTGCGCAGATGGTGCCTGACAGACAAGAACCAGGGAAAATACAGTACGCAGAGCGCGCCTGACAGACAAGAATCAGGGAAAATACAGTGCGCAGAGCGCGCCTGACAGACAAGAACCAGGGAAAATACAGTGCGCAGATGGTGCCTGACAGACAAGAACCAGGGAAAATACAGTACGCAGAGCGCGCCTGACAGACAAGAATCAGGGAAAATACAGTGCGCAGAGCGCGCCTGACAGACAAGAACCAGGGAAAATACAGTGCGCAGATGGTGCCTGACAGACAAGAACCAGGGAGAATACAGTGCGCAGAGCGCGCCTGACAGACAAGAACCAGGGAAAATACAGTGCGCAGATGGTGCCTGACAGACAAGAACCAGGGAAAATACAGTACGCAGAGCGCGCCTGACAGACAAGAATCAGGGAAAATACAGTGCGCAGAGCGCGCCTGACAGTCAAGAACCAGGGAAAATACAGTACGCAGAGCGCTGAGTATGTGAACGGAGCAATCGCTTGCTGCTGTTATTATAATAGCTAGATCCATGCTTGCAGCCCGTGCAAAGCTTGCACTCACTCACAGCCGCTAACAACAACCAGAGCGGCCACGGAGGAGGCCATCTCACACGCAGCATTCTGAGTGATATTCTTATGGATAAATGGGCGGGTCATTCGGACATGCGTTAATGCGTTTAAAAATAAATAACGCGTTAATAAAAACTGTAATTAACGTGAGTTAACGCGATAATTTTGACAGCCCTAAAAATTAAATTTAACTCTTGAATGCTTGGTCTTATTTTCTGCATCAAATTCTGACACACGTCAGTCATGTTTTTGACAATTGACACGACAAAAGCTGTAAATTCATTGTTTCAAATCCCGTGGTCATTTTGGCTCTTCATACGACAAAATGAATTGGCACAGGTAAAACTGGATGGAGGACTCGTGCCCGTTGCCATGGTAACATAACTCCATAGGATCAAAACTCACCTGTGCAGGTCCTGTGTGAGGCCGTGCTCCTCTGGCTCGACTTTAATCCTTGGACTCTCCGGCTTTTCCAGAGCCCGACCAGAACTCGCAGAAATGAAGCGGATACCTGCGAGAGACGGTCCACAACACGATGTAAGAATGGATGGACTTTGCACATTATGATTCAGATTCACTCTGATACCAGCAGGGGGCGCATGTTTAAGTTTAATGTCTCCAATGAGAGTCTGGGTTGAAACAATTCTATCACAATCATCACAAATCAAGTTGAATTATAACAAAAGGCAAAATAATTGACAATATAAATACAGCTGGAAAAAATACATTAAAAACTGCACTTTATTCAAATATACAATAAATATGGAATAAATGAATAAATAAAATAGTTTCCTGATCAAGTTTTGGACTGTCTCCTCTTATTTTCACTTTTCATGCAGAAGACCAGCCTCTCTCAGCCAATCAGCTCTCAGTATATACAAGACCAAATGTTTTCCATTAAAACACATACAGCAGTCTGTGGTCTAAGTCCTTCAGAGCATCTTATCTGTACAAGAGTGGTCAGAGTCGTAAAAACAGCCCTGGGTTTATTGATTTGCAGAGTTCAGAGGCTAAAGCGAACTAAAACATGAGCAAACAGGAAGAAGCAGGACTCAGCAGCGATCAGACCCGAACCGTCACAGAAAGTACCGGTCCATGTTTGTGGAGAGGCGAGCCCAGCACTCAAAGTGAACTCACACGTAAACAAACTATCAGACGTAAATATCAGACTTACATGTGTGTGGAAACGCCATGGCTCTTTCCCAAACGGCCGCTCCTACATCCGCCCCTGCACAGCTGATCTCAGAGACGTCAAAACAACATCAAAGATCCAGAAACTCAGAAAGTAGATTATAATGGACCCATGGACGGAACACAGGCATAACCACTGCTCACTATGAAGGGCTGAGTCTACAGTGTGTACCGAGTAAACCAAGGCTTGGGTCGAGGCGTGTGTTGGTGACGTATGTGATGACGTATGTGGTCACGTTCGAAGACTCGCGGAGCGGCCGCACCACGTGACGGTTCACTGCGTACGTGTGTCTCTGTGTGTGTCTTTGTGTGTCTTTGTGTGTCTCTGTGTGTCTCTGTGTGCGTGCGTCTGTGTGTGTCTTTGTGTGCGTACGTGTGTCTCTGTGTGCGTATGTGTGTGTCTCTGTGTGCGTATGTGTGTGTCTCTGTGTGCGTATGTGTGTGTCTCTGTGTGCGTATGTGTGTGTCTCTGTGTGCATACGTGTGTGTCTTACACCAACACACAGACACACAGACTCACACAGACACACACAGACACACACCGATACACCTGGACATGTCAAAGTGTGTGTTTTGAGGCGATACAAGTGCCATGTGTAATGGAAGTGTAGAGAAAGTCACACACAATAGAAAAGATAAATATTGTTGCATAAATACAATCCTATAATCACCATAATCAGCTAACCCGTTTCTCATCAGTGATTTAATGCACTAACAGTTATGTTGTTGGTATGTTTTTGTGCTGGGCTCAGACATGGAGACCGTCTGTCACAGACAGAAACTAAAATGTCAGGAGGTTAAAGAAATGACAGTAGACAGAATAAGGAACATGTGCTTCCTGTTTCTAAAACGTGTTTTTCAGAAAAGTGATGATGTGGCAAAAAGGACTGAGACCAAGGTTCAGGACCTCAGACCAGGACCCGAGACGACCTGGGCTGTATCCGAATGTCCACACTATACCCTATCCACTCACTCACTATATAGTTCGGGACTATATAGCGACTGAGTGAGTGAGTCAGTGCGCTCATTCTGTTGGCGATTCGGACACATGCACACTATTTTTAGCCGCGGCCCACATCACACCCCTGTCACATGTCATTGGATCAATATAATTTTATATATAAATAAAAGTATATTAAAATATCAATATTTGTCTAATATACATGTATAAAATGTTTTTACAATTTATATTCATATTTATGAATTTTGGTTGACTTATTCGCTTAACGTCTTTCATATTTTCGCCACCTGACCGGCTCCTCTAACACTGGTGAAATGGCACCTCCACTGAATTTTGCGGTGTTTTTGTTAACAATTATAAAACTTCTCATAATGCGAATTAAAAACCGCCCGAACAGAGAGAAGGCGAAGACAGGCGATGAGGCGGAGGAGGAGAATGGCTCTTCGTTCATTAGCAGGGCGTCGTGTAAGTATTGTATTCGTCCTTTGTCTATATAGCATTAGCACCATCTACTGGGTAAATTATAGTACTTTTGGTGTACTTACTAATTCAAAATACTATTCTCAGTCAATGAGAAACACATTAGTCATATACATTTAGACATATTTCAACAAGAAAACACATTGTATAGACACACTCACTTAAAATGCAAGAACATTAAAATATTTTATTGGTTGAAAGAACACAAAACCATAGCAAGGGAAGTGGAATAAGTACTCATTTTTTCCAAATGAAAAATGAGTACTTAATCATTAAACAATAATAGAATTTGCTTGGCCATGGGGCACAGGGCTTCTGTGATTTTTGTGTGTGTTATTAGGTGCGAGTGATGTAGTGAGGGTTTCTACTTCAGTTGTCTCAGGGCAGCCCCAGCCCCTGCAACACACAATACATTTGGCAAAATCAATGCCAGGGCACAAAAGAACATGATTTCAGCTATATACTCTTCATTTTTATTTACATTTTTAAATCTCAAAATGAAAAATGAGTACTTATTCCTGTGTCTGCACTCATAACTAAAAGTGCAGATACAGAATTAAAAAATGAATCTAGAAGCATCATATTAAATTTAAGAGAATTTTTGTTTTGTTTTAGGGTGAACCACATGCTGAGCAGGGGTACATGGTGGTACATGGAGCAGGGGTACATGGAGCAGGGGTACATGGAGCAGGGGTACATGGTGGTTCAGTCGGCAGTACACCGGTGGGTGTACTGCCGACTGAACCACCATGTACCCCTGCTCAGCATGTACTTAAATGGCCACTCTGACCTTCGCCTCGATTTTCGTCTCACTCGAACCACCATCACCCGTCTGGTTAGCCACCTGAGGAGTGCTCATCACCAGGGCTGGAGCCAGGACATGGAGGTTTTGGTCTTCCTCTTTTGGTTGGCCAGTGGCACCGCGTACCGTGTTGTCGCCAGGGCATTTGACATGCCCCAGTCTACGGTCCACGATGTGATCCACAGGGTGGCCAACCAGATCCTTCAAATGCGTGGCCAAATAATTCATTTCCCTTCCCTGGAGGAACTTCCACAAGTTGCAGCTGGGTTTCAGTTGCTGGCTGGATCAGCTGCTCTCAATAATGTTGTGGGGAGCATCGACGGCTGCCACATTAGAATAAAGCTCCTTCAAGAGAATGCACAGTGTTATTTTAACAGGAAATTGTTTTATTCTATTCAAATGCAGGCTGTGTGTAATCACCGTGGCTTATTTATTGATTTGTTTGTTGGCTACCCCGGATCTGTGCACGATTCTCGAGTGCTTAAAAACAGCCCCCTCTACGTCCACCGGCTCTATCCCCCAAATGGACACGTCCTCCGGGGGATGGGGGTTACCCTTGCCTCCGTCAGCCCATCACACTCCTCCCTCCATACAGAGAGCCTGTTCGGAGCCCAGTGGAAGCCCGCTTCAACCGGCACCATGCACGGGCACGATCTGTAACAGAAAGAGCGTTTGACATGATGAAGGCAAGATGGCGATCAATTTTTTTCAAGGCACTGGAAGTCCAACCCACCTTTGCAGTCGAGGTGACTGCCTGTTGCGCCATCCTGCACAACATCTGCATCAGCGATGGTGATCTCTGGGAGCCAGTGGAAGAGGAGCCAGGGCCTGATGATGAGCAGGACCAGCATCAGCAGCACCAGCCTGATCAGCAGTGTGGACAGGAGCTGTGTGGACAGGAGCTGTGTGGACAGGAGCTGCGTGGACAGGAGCTGTGTGGACAGGAGCTGCGTGGACAGGAGCTGCGTGGACAGGAGCTGTGTGGACAGCTGTGTGGACAGGAGCTGTGTGGACAGGAGCTGTGTGGACAGGAGCTGCATGGACAGGAGCTGTGTGGACAGGAGCTGTGTGGACAGGAGCTTCGTGGACGGATGGCAGCAGCACTTTCCACCCCAAGGGCCAGGCTACCAGCTCTTCGGGACCACGACTATTAATCCATTTCTGGGTCAGGGGGGTGGCAGTCAGAGATGCCACCCAAGTCTCATAGCACCAGCCCCTCACTGACCCTCTGCAGGTGGTGAGTCCACAGGAGGACGGCTGCTCTCTGAGTGTGAGCATAGCCTTGATCTTTCAGTGGGGGCTTTGGGCAAAGTGGGCTAAGTGTCTTGCCCAAGGACACAACGACAGCAGTCATCAGTGGGAGTCGGTGGAGAAGGTGCAGAGGTGGGAATTGAACCCACGACCTTCTGGCCTTAAGGCCAATGCTCTACCAATTGAGCTACTGTCGCCCCCTTGTGTTTTGGCCTATTTAAATAAAAACAAACACAATTGAATATGTAAATATCTAAAAAGAAATTGTTGAATGTATGTATAGTTTTCTTTACAAATGTCTAGTTGATTAAATTTTTTTTGTGTAAATAGTGTTCATCATTGTATGTCGATATGCATAGAATTCAAACTACACTTATCAAAATACATTTTTATCTACTATTTACAACTTCTCTCCAACAAACTCAACAGTCTCTCCTTCCTCTCTTCTTCCCCTCTCCTCTTCTCACTTCTCCCTTTCCTCTTCCTTCTTCTCCACCTTCTCCAAAAAACTAATTCAACTCTCCCTCCTCGGCCTCTTGGCTGCCACTCTGCTTTCCTCTTCCTCTTCCTCCTCTGGCTGTACGGGGGCAGGGGGTTGTTCCACAGATGTGGAAACGCCCTCCCCCATGGATGAGGCAATCAGGCAGGGAGGCTGCACGGATGGCCTGCTGCCTATTGCCTCATCCATGAGGGAGTACCACTTCCACGATATGGCGATGGGCTCCCCTCCTTCTGTCCCTGTGCGTGGCTGTCTGAGCTCCTTAAAACAGTGAGTTTTGTATAATAAATGCTTCACAAATTAGCTTCAAAGAAACAAACCTTGTAGGTCTTTTTCAGGTTCTCCCACTTCTTGGCCGCTCTGGCAGGGCTGATCAGGCGGCTCAGCCCCATTTCCTTTATCACTGCCCTAAAGTAACGATACATAAAAACATTTGAATATGAGTAGACGTTTTTTGAATAAGTATTTATTCATAATGGTCATACTCCCATCCAGCCGCCGAAGCAAATTTTTCACCCGCAGTCAGATGAGTCTCTCCACATCAGTGTCTGTCCCTTTAAAAAACATTAAACACACAATAAATGCTATACATATAACACAAGTGCTTTAATAACATTAATGACTGACCACCAGTGACCCGTTTCTGTAGCGTTCGCTTTAGATGTTAATGTTATGATATGCGAAAATGCTAACACTTTCGCGGCATAACATTGGTACGTTGTTTCGCAGTAAAAGGCAATGGTATTCAAATGTGTATTTTGGCAGCTTATCGTCAACAATATATCACGGTTTACACATTTACATATTTATGATGATTAAAAACTCACATTTATAGCTCATGTCCCGCTTCTCTTCCAACCCGTCTCCCCGTGCCTCCGCCATTTTACTTCCGTATAGTGACCACTGCTGCTCACTACATGTTCGAGATGCATTGTGGGAAAATTCCAGTGCACTACTTTTTCTCTCTGGACATTCGGACACCCCTACAAAATGGCGTGACCACTATATAGTGCACTATATAGGGTATAGTGTGGACATTCGGATACAGCCCTGGTCTGGACTGACGAAGCCACGCCCACTTCTGCACATTTTAATTATGCCATATGTGAATAATGTGAATAATCTTTCTCTTCATCAAATTGGAAAACACGTCCAGTCTTTTTTTAGGCCATAATATTAACAACTATAAACCGTGTTTCAGCCCGAGTTTGGAACTTCAGACTTGAGCAGCGTTCATTCCTATTTTTCCTTTTCCAGTGGGAAGTTAGAAATTCCCAGTTTACGAGATGACGTGGACGCTGCAACGATCCATGGTTTTATCTGTGGATTGTTGCCAGGTCTGTATCTGTGCGTTGTTGCCAGGTCTGTATCTGTGCGTTGTTGCCAGGTCTGTATCTGTGCATTGTTGCCAGGTCTGTATCTGTGCATTGTTGCCAGGTCTGTATCTGTGCATTGTTGCCAGGTCTGTATCTGTGCGTTGTTGCCAGGTGTGTCCTGAGTTCAGCTTTTCGGACGAAGCTGCTGTCACAGAGCAAACAGCTGAAAGGTTTCTCTCCAGTATGAATCCTTCTGTGCGCAGTGAGATGGGATTTCTGTGAAAAGGATCTTTCACAAAAAGAGCGACTGTAAGGTTTCTCCCCCGTGTGGGTCTTCATGTGGTCTTTGAGGTGAGAGCTCATCCTGAAGCCTTTCTTACAGACGGGGCAGCTGAGGGGCGTTATCCCTGTGTGTGTCACCAAGTGGTATTTTAGCGCCCCCATCTGGGCAAATGTTTTATTACAGAAAGAGCACTGGTGAGGTCTTTCTCCAGAGTGAAGTCTAATGTGTATTTCTAAATTACAGTTTCTAGAAAATGTTTTGTGACAGATGGAGCACTGGTGTGTCTTCCTCTGAGCTGGTCCTGCACACTCCTCTGCCGGTGCCGGTCTCTGCCGCGCCGGTCTCTGCCGCGCCGGTCTCTGCCGCGCCGGTCTCTGCCGCGCCGGTCTTTGCTCTGGTCTGGACTGTGCTGTTGCAGAGCGGTCTGTGGGCCTCGGTCTCCATCAGTGCCGCTGAACAGCTGAAAGGAGCTGGGTGTTCACCATAGTCTGGGAGTCCTTCAGGCAGTGTCTCTTCTTTGACCTGGGTTTGAAGAGGAAACAGCAGTTCTGTCTTGGTAAACACAGACGCTGGAGCAGACCTGAGGAATCAGACACAATTACAACATGTAAGAAACATTAATGCTTTCTGGTTTTGTCCTACAGTATGTTAAACAATTTCTCTGTCGACTGAAAAGGGGCAAATGTT